TTCTCTTCCTCAGCAGCATCCTTGATTGCTTTTCTTTTGCTGCTTGAAAAAAGGATGCACTCAGGGATGCTCTAATGACGATAGCTCTAATGACGATTTCGGACGAACAAAAACGGCAAGCACGACCAACACTTCTTACGGCTTCGATATTATCATGCGTTGTTTTATGCTGGTTAGCAGATTTCGAGAAGTAGAGCAGAAGTGCTACTTTTTCATACAAGAACTTGCTTCGGCAACTAACTTTACAGAATTTGACTTGTCCAAGATGATGATCTACATGGATCATGGTTTCCATGATCTGTAGGTGCAAAGTAGATAATTATCCAGGAAAACTTCTCAATAAACCACAGATGTAGAGTACTTGGCTTCACAGGAAGGAAACAACTCAAACAGATGTAACCAAGAAAAGAGCTAAAGGGCAGCTCTCGTTCTTCTTTCTCGTCCTCTAAAATGAAGCATGGAGTCCCTCACACGGACGCTTTTCCATCTCAGGCAGCAAAGAATCTATGCTTGTGGGGCGATTTGCTGGGGCCGGAGGATAAGAGGATGGACGACGCGGAAAACGATCTTTCGGAAATCGGAGAAGTTACGAGTAAGTATGTGTTTTTTCATAGAAGTAACGAAGCTAGTCTTAGTTGGTCATCCTCATATTATGATGATCATGTTTAAGAACACGTCGGTCAATATGATAGGTTCTCCAACATGACAGGTTTTCTGCTTCCCAACAAACAAGGCTTTTCTAAAAAACTCCGAAAACAGAATGTAGACGACTCCACTTTCATTTATCGTGTTACGACTCTTGTAGACGATGACCCCATATTGAACGCGGCCTCGGTGATTCCGGTGGAGAAAGCACGCGATCTTCTCCGCGAGCGCGTGCCCAAGGCTTTCACGCGCATCAGTGATAGCGTTGAGGCGCTCAGTGTTAAGGCTATCGACATGGATATGAATTCATTCATTTGATCCGGAGTAGGTGTGCCGTAGGTCTGGTTATAAATTGTAATTGATTCATTTGTATTTGAGCCAGAGTAGGCGTACTGTAGGTAACGACTCTAGATCTAGACTTAGTAAATAATTTTGTTAACGGTGGATTACTCTAGAAGATCTACTTAGAGGACAAGAACTTTTTATCTTCCACAATAGATATGTTCTATGTTCATCTTCACAAGCAAGAGCAAGGATAGATCTGCTTCTTAGTTAGAGAACTTTTGTCCCGGGAGTACTTGTACTTCTTGGAATCGATAATTCGGAGAACAAGACGAGGGAAGTCGACGTCTGCAGAGCACTTTCAATTTCTTTTGCTGCTCTAAGATTACGTCGAGGCTCCTTTACCCTGCCGGACATGCTGAGGAGATGCTTGGTCGACTTAATGCAGAACTCGAGGGAGAAAAGCGCGATTCTCAGGCTTTTAAGACGCCAACACTTTGCTTCCACTGACTTGGGTAGAGCGACGCAAGTCAATTCATCATAGAGGGCATAGTCATAGATTGACTTTTTATATTTTCACAGGTAGACTCACCTCATCATGCGACTATCACTTATCACGTATACATGGATGTTAGAAAATGTTACACTAATCTCATCAAATCGTATTCATCGTAAATCGATGAAGACCTCATCTAATATCTTTCCTAGTGGACGAGACGGCGTGGAGGAAGCTAGTGTTGCTTTTTTACAACCCTGCTACCCAGCGGAAGAAGGATTACGGTAACCGTAAAGAGAAACTTACAGCATCTCTTAAGCAGTAGCTTCTTAAAAAAAGTCTTCCTAAGCTGAAGAGTAGATCGTGTTAAGCTGCGTCGGGCTGTCACCCCCGTTCATTGTTCGAATCAGTAAGTGTCTCGTCAAGAATGCATGCGTTCTAGCGTGTATGTAGCGGAGGGACAACAACGTCGTAGCTTAGAAGAGGGCAGATGGGAAGGTATGCTTTTTCTTCATCTGTTGTCGTGATTTCTGGGTATAATTTTTCGGTCATTCTCGCTACCTCTAAGATAAGTTCGAGGCTGGCTGGCTGCCTACGCGCCGCATGTCCTCCTTTGGCAGCTGAGGCGGTGCTGGAAGGCTGCGAGGGCTTTGGTCTTCTCACATACACGGAAGATGAATGATAGAAGCGATCATCTTGTTCGCTTGGAGGTTCGTAGAAGATGGGAAAAAGGTTAAGATGAAGATGATAGTTACTCGTAAAGCTACTACGTCGTAGATGGGAAAAAGGTTAAGATGATGACTCGTGCGAAGATGATGACTCGTGCGTCTAGTTTCTAATAAAGGTCACTCGTCCGCCTATTCAAAACGATCTTAGTTTCTCACTCATGAAGATCCGTCCACGAGTGCAGTGTCCTGACTTCTTCTACTAGTTTTGCGTCATGCTATCGAAACGCGATCGAGTGCTCCTTACTGAGCGGCCCTTGAGCTTGAAAACTCGTGTACAAAGGGAAAAGGCAAAAAATCCTTCAGGAAGAGGAAGGTAGAACTGCAAAGGATAGTTTGCCATCGTAAGTATAGCTGCAACCAAAGGATAGTTACTTATTATTATTTGTCATCATAAGTCTATTAATTAGTCAAGAACCAATTTACAGTCCAGTCCTAAAGGATTACTCTTTAACCCAAACCCTCTAAGTCTTAGTTGCAGCGGAGGTGCGGAGGGTTCTGAGTGCAATTTTGACTTTGACAGCTGGGGCGCTGGGCACCAATGCTAATGGACTGTTTGTGTGACGGGTTCCTCTTGTAATACTGAGCCCTGCAAGAGAGGTTTCTTCTTCTAAGGTTTTTAATGAATGTGAGAAGAAGAAGCAGCCTCTCTAGCAGGGCGAACGTGTCAATTACGTTAATTGAACAACGTCTAAGAGCCATCCCTATAGAGGACAGGCACGATTGTCATCCATCATCAGTGGTGGGTTTATTAGACACATATACACAGGACGAACGTGAGGCACTAACAATGATTTCATTAGACATGTACAGTCATGGCGTGGCCATCTTCAGTCATGGCATGGCCATCTACAGCCATGACACGGCCCCAGAGAGAAATGTACGGTCCCACAGAGAGGTGGACTCCTACCGTTTGTTTGATCGTAGACTTGAAAAGGTGAAGAATTTGCCCTCATGATACTATAAAGTCTTTGCATTTATTGATACTGCCTTCGTTGCACATGGGCCCTCTTATTGAATAGGTCCTAAAACCTGTCTGCATTAGCAGCCTCTGTCTTCATGAACTGGATTCAGGTTTATTTACAACTTTTATCAACGACCTGAGAGTG